AGATGGTCCAAAAATGCGTTACAAAATACACTATTTCCAAAACTTGAAATTCATTTTTTTCTCGAGTCCATACTTCTTGATGTCCAGATGATCAATTTGAAGATATTTGGGCATCAAAACAACCTCTTCTAGTGAAATTTTTGTAGTAGGCTCCAATTTGATTGCTTAGAGCCTCGGCTCTATATAAACTTTTCCCTTATATGAATTCAGATTTAAATGCATAGTAATTTCTTCTTTTTGATATAGGTTTACCCAGCATGGAAATGGTTTGAAAAGCAAGATGGGATTCGATCCCTGCAAAAGAACAATGAGGATCCAGCTCCCGAGTTTTATAACATATATCTGGAAAGGCCAAAGGTGTTATTCTCCTGCCTTTTTGACTATTTTGTACTTGTGAGGCTATGTTATTTTTATTTTTTTAGGTCAATTGGTTCTTGATGTTTATTTTACAAAATTATCTGCAGGGTGATCGAGATGGTTATGATTTGGTTGTAGTTGACGCGATGCACAAGGCAAATTATGCGAGTAGAATATGCCATTCTTGCCGGCCTAATTGTGAAGCAAAGTGAGCCCCCAGTTTTCCATTGCTTCCTGTTTTTTATTTTTCAATAACCTACTCATAGCATATCATAAGTAGTAGTGGTGATTTATTAGACCGGTAAATCTGGGAAAGTGCATAATTTAATTGTGCGTGGTTGATGATTGCATGTGTAGGCTACTGGGATCAATATGCTGATATTATGGCTGTTTTTTATTTTGAAATTACGAGCATGGTTTTTTGATATGTAAATTACTAGAGAGTCTATATGTTGCCCTTTCTTGCTGTGGACCCTTTATTTCAAAAATAAGTTACTAGAGTTGTTCATATGAAAATTTCTTTCTTTATAGATTCTTTATTTTAAAAATTACCAATGGTGGTGACTCCCTGTAACTAGAGTCTCACTGTTAAAGACTCTTCAACAACGCTTCGGTTTTTTGGTCCTTGTTATTTTCAACAGTGGCATATTATCATGTTCTCACTCCATACTGTAGAATGTCATGTTCTAGTTCTAGATTTCTTTCTCCTCCACTTGGACAAAAGGATTATGCATTAATTTTTTGAAAGAAAAGGATACTAATGGTGGTGAACCGGTTTAATAATCATGCATTTATGATATTCAGATGAGATAGAGTAGAGAGAACGATTGCCACGTATTGAAAAGAAAAAGAATAACAGATGCCATGTATTCTGATGGTTGTTGGGCCAACAACTCATGCACTTGTTGAAGTTTCCGATTAAAGAACTGTTTCTTGTGACAGCCCCTAGAAGTATTATGTCTACAAATTAAAGCATCATAAACCGAGTTAAAGGCATTTGGTGGTCTTTTTCATTTAATGGTTTTCATATGATAAGACAATAAATCTCTATTTGTTTCTCTCTCTCTCCCCGCCCTTGCCCCCCCCCCCTCTCTCCTTCAATAAATCATGGGTTGTGCTTATTATGTGCAAATGGCATCCCCTTTACTTGGATAGATGCTCATAGTGATCCTTTGCCGGAAAGTGGAAGCTCCCAATATTTCCTCATTATGCAAATTTTTTTGTGCTCTTAATATATGCCTAGTATCATTTAGGGAGTGAAACGATATTTGCAGGCTATTCTGTGTCTTGTCAGATATGTTATTTGATGTTCTTGCGACTGTATTCAAGTCTAAATGTAATGATCTGTCTGCTTTATGTTGAACAGAGTTACTGCAGTAGATGGCCAATATCAGATTGGAATTTACACTGTGCGGCCTATAGGATATGGTGAAGAGATCACATTTGACTATAACTCTGTGACTGAGGTGCATGTTGTCTCATTTGCAGCTTTCATTGGAACTTGGGTATGATATTTGTCGATTTCTTAATGTGAATTAGCTCCTTGGTTGCAGAGCAAGGAGGAATATGAGGCTTCTGTTTGCTTATGTGGAAGTCAAGTTTGCAGAGGAAGTTACTTGAATCTGACCGGTGAAGGAGCTTATCAGAAGGTACTGTTTGATTCCTGCTCACCATTGGTAGAATTGTTTTTTACTCAATGTGTTTTGTCATGGTTGCTTCATTTGATAGTCTTTGCAGAATTTGTTTTATTGGATAACTTTCATAATTGGCTTGCGACCTGACTTGGAATGTAATATATGAAAATTTGTATGTATTAGGTATTGAAGGAGTGTCATGGACTGCTGAATCGGCATCAATTGATGCTTGAGGCTTGTGAAATGAATTTTGTTTCGCAAGAGGACTATGATGACTTGGGAAAGGCTGGTCTTGGCAGCTGTTTGCTTTCTGGATTGCCTGACTGGCTCATTGCTTATTCAGCTCGCCTGGTACATACTTGCACCTTATTAACTGCTTATATTTTGCTTTAAGCTTTCACTTTGGTATCTCTTACTTTTTTGCTTCTGTTGAAGGTGAGGTTTATAAATTATGAAAGAACTATGCTCCCGGAGGAGATTTTGAACTATAATTTGGAAGAGAAGAGGAAATTCTTTTCAGATATTTGTCTTGAGGTTGAAAAGAGTGATGCTGAGGTTCAGGTAATCATTACTTACTCTTGATCTGTGAGGGCTTGTGAGGTAGAATTATTTCTTACTATTTTCTATTGCATCGTGCCAGGCAGAGGGTGTGTATAACCAACGGCTTCAAAATCTGGCAGTCACACTTGACAAGGTGAATTGGTTATTCTGACGTTTGCACACAAGTATTTTCATGCACATCGTTGCACACATACTGACTACACACATCCTCTCTGAGCAATCATGAATGTTTGCATTTGCACATGTGGCCCCAAAACTGTAGATCCTTCTGCTTTGGGCGATTGGAAACATATTTTCTGATTTGCACAATGGACAGTGTACCCTTGATTTAAGTTCCATTGTTGCCTGACCTAGAGATGACAAACTTCATTTACTAATTGAAAATCAATTGGAAGTACAATTAATGCACATGAGTCCTTATCTTTTACTCTTTTGGCTATGAAAAGAAAGATATGTATGTTATGATATTAGGGATTGTCTAAAAGATTGATAAGTAATGGAAGATTAATTTGTTTTTCATGAAGAATGAAAAAACCATTTATGCAAAACATGATATATTTTTGGGTTGCTTATAAAATCTGGGTACGGAACTAAGGAAAATCTACTTTCTTTCTATAATATAATACGCACATGTATTATCACTTTATAGTAGTCCTGAAGATTTAGTAAAATATGTTGCTAGAAATTGTTACAATTGATATTTATTTATGTCAAATGTATTTGCTTTGCCCATGATATTATATATGTATGTCTGTTTCGGTCAATATCAGTAAATAAGTTGCATTTCTATAATTTTTATATTTTTATTATCTTCCCAACCGGGATGTTGCGATGAAAATTTTCTAGTTAAGTCAACTGGGACTTATGCCACTCGATATTGAGCATTGCTAGGGTTTTGAAGATGTAATGCATGATACACATTGCATTTGCTTAGAAACGTTAATTTGGCTGGATGTTGCCCATTATGCATGACTGACACTAAATCGGGCTTATCCTGATTACGGTGGTGCCTGAACTGAGTGCAGGACACTATGAGAGCAATGTTCATGAATTATAATAGGTTCGCAGAATGGGTTGTATTTGGTCGAATTTGTTTTTGTGTCTGACCACCTATTTAAAGGAGCCAACAGCCAACTTTACCACGTGCTGATCGACAAATTCATGGATGTCATTGCTTATGAAATTTAGCTAGTTATGAATCTGGACATGTGAAGTATCTAATTTCTGTTCCATCGCATTGCGTTGATAACTCCTATTTTTGGTTTAAAACTAATCTAGGATCACAATTTATTTATTGTTGCAGGTTAGGTATGTTATAAGGTGCATATTTGAGGACCCAAAAAGAGCACCGCCGCCACTGGAGAGACTAAGTCCTCAAGCATTAGTTTGTTTCCTCTGGAAAGGGGAAGGCTCACTGGTTGAGGAACTATTGCAGTGCGTGGCCCCTCATGTGGACTCAGACTTGCTAAATAGCCTGAAGTCCAAAATTCATGCACGTGACCCAAGTGGATCTGATGACGTGGGTAGAGAGCTGAGAAAGTCTCTGTTGTGGTGAGCCTTGGTATCCTGATGTTTGAGTAAATGTTTAATAATTGCCTCTTTTTATACATGCATTTTATTTGATGGGCTTTTATTTATGCTTGGACTATCTCTTTCCAGGTTACGAGACGAGATTCGGAGCCTACCATCTTCGTGTAAGTTTCGACATGATGCTGCTGCAGACTTAATACACATGTATGCATATACAAGATGCTTTTTCACAGTCAGGGTGAGTAAGCCATGTAACACGATTATGGTCATACACGTCTTTTTTCTTTCCTATGTCAAGTGTCTATAATTGTTTGGGGTATGAATGTACCAAAGATTTACTCTTTTGTTGGGAATTATGTGATGGCTAACTTCAGTTAGAAAGTGCAGGATTACAGAACTGTCACATCGGCCCCAGTGTATATAAGCCCACTTGACTTGGGTCCCAAGTATGTGGGTAAATTAGGCTCAGGATTTGAGGAGTATCGGAAGACATATGGTGAAGGTTATTGCCTAGGGCAGCTGATTTATTGGCATGTTCAGACTAACGCAGATCCTGATTCGACCTTAGCAAAGGCGAGGAGGGGTTGCTTGGCTCTTCCCGACATTTCTTCTTTCTATGCAAAGCCTCAGAAACCACCTCCCAAATTTTCTTATGGCCCCAAAACTGTTAGATTAATGATGGCTAGGATGGTTAGTCCTGAAATCTTGACTTTTAATGCCTTTATTCTTTGCTTCTTGTCTTTTGGGTTTTGTATAAGGTGTGTACTCCTTACTATGTTGTTTTGACTGAACCAGGAAAAACAACCCCAAAAACCTTGGCGTAAGGACCAGATATGGAAGTTCAAAAGTACTCCGCGAGTATTTGGTAGTCCAATGCTAGATGCGATTATGAACAGATCAGCATTGGACAAAGAAATGATGCAATGGCTCAAGACTAGGCCGATTGCTTGCCATGCTCCATGGGACCAATGACAGGGAGTTAACGCATTTGTTTTGGAATGATTATTTCATTCTTTCTTTCCTTTTTAGCTTTTGATTCCCTTTACTTATTGCGGAGATGGTAATCATTCCAAAACATAACTGTGTTACTCTTCCATTCCTGTGTACAGGTTTTGTACCTTGTATTCATTATGTAGCATTGGTTTATAATAGTTGCAAGAATTATTTTCTCTCTTGTCCGACTTTGGCTTCTTTCAAGCCCTTTCAAGACCTTTTTTACAATGCTTATATATTCATGTCAGAAAGAATTGAACATATACATGCCAGTACTTGATTCCTTTTATCACATGTACAAACTCAAATGACATGTCATTGCTTGTTTTTTTATCTGAACTTAGTTTCGTGTTACCATTTTTCCAGTTAATGAACCTGATGCATAAGATCTTATAATAGAAGCCAGGTAGAGGAATACCAAACCGTTTTGTTGATCATTAATGTTGGGAAATCTTGCTTTCCAACATTAGACGTTTCAGTTGTACTATGCCTTTGGTAGGCCATAAACCCAGAGAACACACCATAAAGTTCTGACCTTGAAATCTCTACCTTGAGCATCCGATCCTGACATTGTAAACCAATGATTGCCGACTCCAAACCTTGACAACTCATAATCCCTAACCTTGAACTGCAAATGACGACCATTCATCTGGTCTACAGGCCCTGAAGCAGGTGCCTAAAATCCTGGGATATTAATTTTTTTCAAGTTATCCCATGTTAAGTTTTTTCAAGCAGGTGTCCATGTTATCATGTTATCCCATTCAGATTGTGCTCCAGTTCTCTTTCATTCTTGTATCCTGGCTCTTTGGAATTTTATTGCTTGGTAATATTGAATTCTGTCAAAACGTTATATGTGTATTAATGATGCTTGATACTGAACTTTGTGAAATTCTTGCAACACATTTGAATATCTCCGTGTATAAGGCCCAGCCATTAATATCAGTCAGGACTCAGCTACAAGCATTTTTTGAGATCAGTGACACTCGTTTTAACTCTGACTTCTGACTACTTCAGATTTAGATCCATTTGCGATAATCGTCCTCATGTCATAACAAAGAAGTGCCCTTGCTAAACTGTTTCTATGCGTAATGTGGGATGGAAGGAAATTGTTTTCCACTTATGAACTTTTGATGTTCCAAACTTCAAATGCAAATACCAATGCTTATCTTTGATCTGATGGTTCTGGTTCTTGCGAACAATGTTCATTGCATCTGCTGCTGGTTGTCGGGTTTTCTTATTAGCTTGGCTGCTCAGAGGGTTGTGATGCTGGAAAATTTGTAGTTGCTTCTTAGAGATTATTCTTAACTTTGCTGCTCAGAGGGTTGTAGTGGTTGAAAATTTGCAGTGGCTTCGTAGAGATTATTCTGCATCTACTTCTCCTTCCTATTTTCAGGTGCACACCTTCTTCAAGGTGGTTAATTACCTTGTTTTTTGGGAGTAACATTTGTTGGAATTTCTAATTACTTCGTTTTTTGGTAGTAACATTTGTTGGAATTTCTTCTGGGCCATGCCCCCTTTCTTCTGAGGTGTTTGACTATCCGCTTTTGATTGCAAGTGAATGGTTGGTGAGTTTAGGTTGGAGTTTCCTGATTCGACTAACTTGATGGCAAAACGCTTTTTTTCTTTCTTTTTTTTATTTTTTCCTTTTTCCTTTCCTTGATTTGGCAAGCATAATTAAAGCCGAAACTAACTTGGGATTTATATATTGTTTCCCCTGTTTGCTTTTGAGGTTTTTCAAAACAAAACCAAAGGGATATATGACTGCGGACAGGTCGAAGGGAAAGTGGAAATCCTGGATTGTGCGGAAACCGCAATCCTCGATCCACACCTAAGTATAAATGGTGTGGTTACGCGTGTGGATTAAACCAATAAGAAACTACCGCAGGGTGGGTATGTTTTGTATTATAAAGTAACTTACCTATGGGTAAATAAATAAAATAAATGGAATTGTGAGATACATATAAGAACGTGGACGTGACAAAAGTGGCCTAACTTTTTCTTTTTCTCCCCTTCTTTCTTGCGAGAGAAGGAATCAAAGCGCGTATGGGTGTGGTCCCTGTGCAACCTAATCTTGTGGTCAGAGAGAGAGAGAAATCATCCTGGGAGAGCGAGAGAGTCCATCTCCCCTGTGAACCTGAAGAGGCAGTTGCAGAGAGAGAGAGAGAGGAAGAGAGATTGTTGCCCCTGTAAAACCTGCTTTTGGGAGAGAGAGAGAGGAGGGAGAGAGATTGTTGCCCATCTAAAACCTGGGACAGCACCGATCTGAGAGAGACGCTTTCAAGGCCTGTGGATCTGCTAGAGATGCTTGGAAAACCTACTTTATAGAGGGACTATTTCCCATGAAAAACTACTTTTGAAAGCGGCAGCTGCGGAGCAAGGGGCAGAGATTGGAGTTTTGGAGGGGCCAGCTGTAGATCTGACCAGAGTGAGATGATCTCCCTATGAATCTATGGCAACTGTAGATCAGAGAGAGAGAGATCGGTGGTCTGAGATCTTAAGAGAGAGAGAGAGAGAGAGAGAGAGAGAGAGAGAGAGATCCGTGGTCTGAGATCTTCAGAGAGAGATCCATGATCCGAGATCTTAATGAGAGTTAAGGATCATCCTGCAAAGTCTGTTCTGAACCAGTGGCTGATGAGAGAGAGAGAGAAAGAGGACTTGAGATGCTGTGTATATTAACCCAAATTTTTTTTTTTTATCTTTAAAACCCCTGGAGGACAGGAGTTACACGCAGCGGCCCAGGTTGGGTTTCACTTTCTCCCTTCGTATGCTTCTCCTGAAATGAATCACGCTTTCTTTACTGAGATTTGTAGAACATTATACACTATGATTCTTATGAATCGGCTTCTCAGCAAAAAAAACAAGAAAAAAAAAGAAAAAAAAAGAAAAAAAAAGAAAAAAAAAGAAAAAAAAAGAAAAAGAAAAAAAGATAAGGAAGTTAGTAAAATCAATTTATATAACAAAACAACAAACGCTTTTGGGGATTTAGGGTTTCACTTTGTGAATACCTTGTGGCGTTCCTTGGGAAATAGGGGATTTAGGGTTTCACTTTGTGAATAGCTTGTGTCGTTCTTTGGGAACTAGGATTTCGTTTGGTCATTTTACTGATTCCAAAATGCGTGCTATGTCAATTTTGGTAAATATTGTGTGATATATCAATTTTTTTTCCCTTACCATTCAAGTAACTTCTACTTACCAAGCTTTTCTTAGAACTGTTTTTTATACATTTTATTTCTTTCTATTCGCTTGTGCCTTAAATGGTTAGGGCACAAAGTATTGATCTGAATCGGTGATTTCCACTATGGATTTTCTGCCCTATAATGTTAGGGCACGAGGACTTATCCGAATCGGCAATTCCTAATATGGATTCGTATGCAAACATATAAGGTGATTTTGGTCTTCACTAGACACGGAATACCCCCACTTCTACTTCCTGGTTCAGGTTGGAGGTCGGTCCCGATTTTTAGAAAGCTGCTTGTAACTATCCTCCAATTTTTATGTTATTTATTTTTGTATCTTGTTAAGTGTCTTATCTCTCTTTTTTAATGGTTGGGTCTGTCACTTAATTGCTGTGTCTGCCTACTTTTTTGTTTTTCCTGGCCTGATTTTTCCGCTGAAAACATGCCTTTTTTTATTTTGATTTTTTATTTTTTTTAAACATTTTTCTGTTTGTGCTTTTTATTAGTTTTCCCCTTAAAGAGGGCTTTAATTTGATTATTATTATTTTTGTGTTATTTCAGGGAATGATGCATTTTCTCGGATGCTTCTTCTGTAGAGGTACTTAACAGGTGTCTTTCATGTCTGCGCACAATGGGAGAAAATGAACTTGTAATATAAAGGTTATTTCATTAACGATCAAATGGGGGAGAGGCCTCTTTGGAATCTGGTAAATTCAGGAAAGGAGTTGGGAGGGGGTTATTATGTCCTTTATTCACCCAATTGGGACTGGAAAAATACTGTCAAAAGGTCGATTGTTTTTATTTTTTTTATTAAAGTCTCAAAATTTTGATTCCTTTTGAATTACCGGATGACTAATTTTAAAGGCAAATATATTTTCAGTTCCTAGGTCTCACAGAATAATAGGAAAACCCGAAAGGGTACAAGTAGGAAACGATTTCGAGTTTTCAGAGGATGAGGATAAGAACACTTTGACAAAGAAAAAGTTTGAAAAATTAGAAATAACCATTATCAGTGTATTTTTGGAGATCATTTTGTCAATTAAAAGTTTTCCAAACTTCCTGTATATATACGCTCTTATATACGAAGAAAGAATGGACTCTCATGAGAGTGACGCCTCCATAAGAAAGGAAACAGTAGACCACGATGACAATATTCTAAAATAACATCAAGCCTTCGACCATCGATTTTGATAATAAACCGTAGAGAGTAACCTTGGTGGTTTAATTGGGAAATAATTTCGAGCTTACCTAATTTTCTACAAATAAGTGGGAAAATAATTCCGAGCTTACCCAATTTTCTTGTTTAAACCCTTTCCAAAATTCTATCCCAAACCGGAATAGAAAGTCTAGAATCAGAAATAGGAATGCCAAGGTAAAGAACAGGAAAGAATCTAGTCTTGAAACTTGCCATGTTAGCTAAAGCCTCGATTTTTACATGATCACAATTAATACCAATGATTGAGGATTTGCGGAAATTTACTTTTATACCCAAGGTCACCTCGCAATACTCCAAACATCTAACTATATTCTTCACTTGTGAACTTTCGGCATCATAAAAAATTAGAGTATTATCAGCATATTGTAAATGCGAGATGACAATTGAGGAACTCACAATCTTAAAGCCTTTTAAATAAACTAGCTTGCTCCACCTTAGAGATCATCACCTAAAACATTATGCATGGATAGTAAATAAGGATGGGGATAATGGATCCCCCTGGCGTAACCTTCTAGAGGCTTTGACAAAACCAATAGGGCTTCTTTTAAAAAGCACCGAAAAGTGGGCTGAAGAAAGATAACCCCACATCCAACTTAACCACCTGTTATCGAACCCCATCCTCTTCAAAATTTTTAAGAGGACCCCCATTCCATTTTATCATACGCCTTTTCCATATCAAGTTTAAACATCACACTTGGCTTTTTCTCTAGCACCCTTGAGTGGATAGACTCGTGTATGAGCAACACACTATCCATGATTTGCCGTTTCTCATTAAAGGTTGCTTGTGTATTGGAAATAAGTAGTGGGAGCACACCTTTCAATCTTTCAGCCAGGACTTTTGCAATTATATTATAAAGGTCAGTAAGAAGGCTAATTGGTCTCACATCCGAAATCCTTACAATAATTGATTTCTTTGGAATAAGCGGCAAAAAAGTTGCATTAACCCCACGAAAAACATATCCTGTGACCATAAACCCCCTAACCATTTGAAACAATTCTCCTTTAACCAAATCCCAATATTTATGAAAGAAGGCTAACGGAAAACCATCTGGGCTTGGGGCTTTATCACCCGAGAGGGCGAACACAAACAGTCCTGATGCATGATTATAAACTACGTCAGATACGGTCTGTTCAACATGACCTTAAACTACCTTCAATATATTCTTGATATATGACTATAAACTGTTTCAAGATACAATCCGTTTAGCACGACCTTAGACTACTATCAATATAGTCCGGATACATGACTATAAACTGTTTCATGACAAGGTCTGTTGGGAATCATCTTAAAAAACCATTGATATAGTCTTGGTGCATGACTTTAAAAGGCTTCACCCGTAGTCCATGATATTTAACTCTAAACTATTTATTTGTCCATGATATATGACTCTAAATTATTTATTAGTCCATGAGATACGACTCTAAACTATTTATTGGTCTGTGATGTATGGCGTTAAAAGGTCTATTAATAGGTCCACGACGTATGACCCAAAACATTACCACATAGTCCTTTCTGTATGACTCTAAACTACAATACTGTCTTGAGGTCTTACGACTTCAAGCACTGGGCCACCCGTACTCTTTTTGTAAAGAGTAAGGAAGGTCTTTATACATAGTCCTTCTTGTATAACTGTAAACTATAATACCCTCTTGAGGTCTTATGACTTCAAGCATTAGGCCACTCGTACTCTTTTATAAGGGTTAGGAAGTATTTTTCATATTGTATGATTCTAAACTCAGTATTCTCTCGGGCTCTCATGACTCTAAGCATTGGCCACCCATAGTCTCTTTATAAAAAGCATGGAAGGCTTTGATATAACCCATCCCTATTCCTGTGCACAAGAAAATAACCGAGACATGGTCTGTTTTACGATGGTGATGTCGCCAAAATTCCTTTGAGATTCTAAAAGCATAGTGGATGATTACCAAGTCAAAAGATAAATAGAAAAGAAGAGATTCATTAAAGGTTGCGTTTATACATTGGTATAATAAAATAGGGAATACAAAAAATTTATCATAAAAAGGGAGTTGTCCTTATGCACAATTTTAAGGAGGAAAACATTAAAAAAGGAAAAATAAAAAAGGAAAAGTGATCCATCATAGAGCTTTGACGTGTTGTTACAATTTCCCCATCTTGCGGTTTTCCTCTGCCACCCACTTTTGAGCTACCTCCTGATGTGCCCTCATTTGAATAAGACCCTTGTGAGCCATGTTGACGCGGAATCCACATGTTGTGAGTTGTTGTGAAGCTCAGGATACTCAAGATCAACCCTTTCAATAAGATGGAATGAACAGGTCAGCAGACAGTGAAACTCCCTTTTCTAGGCTGTAAGGAGAGCCTCAGTCTTTTCGATGAACTCCAACACTTCATCCTTGCGAGCATCCGCCTAATCACACTTCTATTTAAGGTATTCAAATTTACCCTCAGTGGCCTTTAAATTATGTTTGGCTTGCACAATTGCCTCTTCATATTCAGCAACAACTTCTTCCCCTTTAGCTATCACATGAGGGAATACATGAGCAAGACCTTCGTGGTCAGACGCTATATCCCTGGCATCTCAGATGATTTGGTTTACCAGCTTATGAAGTTTATCTTCATCTACTCCCATTGTCTCGACAAATGATATCATTGGGGATATCTTGGGTAGGATGTCTTGTAAACCCGTTTTGGAGTTGTCGCCTAAAATCTTGAACATACCCTCACTATATTCACGTCCATTCGCCTCTGAACCTCATTCTCAAGTAGAGGGTCCCTCATTACAAACCCTATGAGATCCTTTGAGGAGGCAGGGATGATGATTAAGTCTCCCTCAAGGTTGGCCTCTTTCCTCTCAAAAGCTTCGACACCATCTAAGGTGGGGACCACATCTACGGTTGTAGTTAGTACCTCTAACGCTTTGGCCACATCTCCTCCAGATGCAGCACTCTCAATTTGCGAAGGAGGTGTAAGAACCTCAATTGGGGAAGGAGCGATAGAAAGGATACCACTCTGAGCTTCTGATAATGCTTTGGCATCAGGAATGACATGTGCATGATGGAGAACTCTATCCGAGGCTTGGACAATGGGAGTTCCTGCAAAGACACACGAGTTAGTATGTTAAGGCGGATGATCGAGGGATCTAAGGCGGATGATCGAGGGATCTAATATAATTGTTAAAAAAAAACTGAGAAGACAACCCTGTTTATCATGACTGCGTAAGATAGAAACTCAATGTCTGAAGGCTGACGCTCATAAATGAAATCAACCTAGGACAGGCTTCACAACACTACAACCATGCTTACATCCACCTGAGATTGGGTAAGGAATGGTTGAGCAGAGGACCCCTCTTCGAGGATGGAAACCACGATCAATGAATCATCGGTTGATGATGACTTGTCATCAACCACATGAGATTTTCTTTTCACCTTCTTTAAGTCATCTTCTTTGGTAGGCTCAAGCCTCGAGGTTCTCGTGAGACCTCATGAAGGAGAATTTTCACTCCATCTTGGGGAGGCAGGGATGCCCCTTAGAGCATCAATGACGCCTTCCTCCTGGTCTGAAGGGAATGCAGCTTCCACAGTCTCACCAAAGGAGAAGGAGTCCTCCCCAGGAATTTCTGTTTCCAAGACTAGAGGAGGAGATGTTGAAGACGAGGGAGTGTCCAAGTCAGCCTCCCTGAGTTTCTTCATTTTCCCGAGCCTTGGTTTTTCGTTGTAAGCTAGGCTTGAAAGTAGGCTCTTTGACAAAGGTGTTCCTGGATAGCCTTGGTGGAATAACAAGAGACGGGAGCTGGAGGGACTAGGACCTCGAGCATTTACTTAGTCTTGCCTTGAAGTTGTGAGCCTTTTGATTTCTTAGACAACCTTTCGAGGGATGACACCGGAGGTGTAGGGCTCGAGGGATGACACCGGAGGTGTAGGGCCATCTGATTTCATTTTTCCCTTCCCATGTGAATCTACATTTAGATCTTCCGATGTTGTAGATGGAACACTAAGTTCCTTGAGTGAAACCTTTTCAGTCAATGGGACTGTGATACTGACTGTCTCCTGGCTCTCATCCTCGCCCTTTGGGCTTGTGTCCCAGTGCTTGGTCGACACATCAGACTCCTCAAAGGTGGTGCTTGTCGAAGAACAACCTTTCTTTGTCCATTTGCTTTTCATTAAAGACTCAGTTAGCAATCCTTCTTTCGTAGGAGGAGGACTCCAGGTCTTCTTCTTCTTCTTGTTAGTCAAAGGTTTGTGTGGTGGAGACAATGGGCTTTTGTCTTTCTTCTCACCCTTGGATTTTTTTGTAGAAGTAGGAGCTTGGTGACGTTTACTGGACTTGGCAATTTTGGGATCCACTTTCTTATTAAGATCCCGAACAAAAGGATCTTGAGACTGTTCTTGAACTCTAACTCGTTCTCCAATAACGTGGCAAGGTGATGATAAAATGATTCCAGTCATTAGGGAAACATAATTTTGTCGCCCAATCCCCAGTGACATCATCAGTCTTTGACTTGTAATGAGTATGGGATGTCCCTTCTTACTGGAGCACGGGCATGTTTTTCATAGGTTGTAGAAAATGGTATCGTTGATACTCTTTGTACTAAAGACAATAGTTGCGACTCACAAACACTTCTCAACTATAATGAGGGATGATGAAT